CTTGCAGTTGTGTCCCTGGTGTTCGCAGAAGAACAGAACGGTAAGTACAGTCCTGGATGTCAGATTCAATAGAGCCTAATGTTTGAAACCTGTCCTCCTGACACTTAGGCATGCCACGATTCAGTAACTCTGATAATACCACTGATGATAACACTACTTAGATGTTTCTGAATGTTTCCCGTGTGTCTGCTTTTAACTGATCCTCTTTATTTCTGTTCCTACAGCGGAAGATGACCCCTTCACCTTTGGTAATTATCTGTAAATTTATTACTGTCTTATGTCAGTTGATTAAAGTAAGAAGATGATGCCTTATATTGATTGTTGCACTCTTATATAAAAGAAGAATGCAATATAAATATTGTTGGGTAAATGTCTATAATATTTATTTACTTGTTGGTGCATCGATTTCAGTCTTGACCTTTTGTTTGACTAGTTTTTTTACTTCAAGTTGTTGTTGTTGTCTAATGGCTAACATGATGTGTTCGTGCAGACTATCACAGACTGCGTGTCGGAGGCCTCATCCTAGCTGCCGTTCTCTGTCTCATTGGCATCACCATCCTTCTCAGTAAGTGGCAAAATACTCACAGATACATGCATTATACAAATATATGCACAGCTATAAATAGACTCCATCAAAGGCACGCAGTCATCTTTGCTTCTTTTCTCTCACTTCAGGCGGCCACTGCAGGTGCAAGTTCAACCAGAATAAGAGGTGATCTGTCATCGAAATATTTAAAAAACATCTGTGTAACAGGAGTAAACTAACGCTGCGGCCACACCGGAAATGTTTTGCAGCAATGTGCCCACCAGAGACCACAGAAAGTGATCACATTTGACTACAAGTGACTACAGGTTAAATAACTGCTGGCAACATGAAGCGGCCAGGACCTGAGATAAACTTTTCTCACATTTTGTGTGGCACTTCCAGCTAAGCGATTGAAGCAACTGCCAATGAGAGCACAGGATACTCCTGACAACTGGAGCCTCGAATATCTGCAACCAGCCCTCAGTTTCAAAGCAATGCACAAGAAACCAAGCACTTCCAGTGTGGACGGACCTTAATGGCACCGCATATCAAATATTATCTTGCAAGTCATGTTAGGCTTTTGTTTTGTTTTTTTCAACCCCAATTCTTGAATTCTTGCTTCTCTTTGCAGGCGGAGGACAGGAAGCAATGCTCAGCAGATGCTTACCGATCAAGGTAATGCATACATCCTGATTAATAATAATAATGGATTGGATTTATATAG